GCAATGAACTTGCCCGCCACAACACCCGGCTTTTTTGTTGTTGTTGTTGCAGTTGTCATTGTTGTTTTAGCTGGCCTGGGCTGGGTTTGAACCCACCAGCCTTGGTGTATATGGCCAGCACCCTACCCACTGGGCTTTGGGAGCTGCCTCTTTTTTTCTTTTTTGAGACAGAGTCTCACTTTATTACACTCAGTAGAGTACAGTGGCCTCACAGCTCACAGCAACCTCCAGCTCTTGGGTGTAGGCAAGTCTCTTGCCTCAGTCTCCTTAGTAGCTGGGACTACCAGCACCCGCTACAATGCCCAGCTATTTTTTGTTGCAGTTTGCCCGGGGCTGGGTTTGAACCTACCACCCTTGGTATATGGGGCCAGTGCACCTACCCACTGAGCCACAGGCGCTGCCCCGGCAATGAACTTTTAACAATGGATCTATTTTCCTCCCTGGCATTGTTTGTTCTGAGCTGAGTGATGCATGTGCTCCCTAATTTGTAGTCATCTCTAATGCATTCTGTTATTTCTGACCAACTACTGCCATATAGGAAATTATCTCCCAAATATGGAAGCTGTGTATCAATTGCCATTTTCTACATTTTTATAATTTCTTTTGAATATCTCTCTGTCTTGACCCATCTGTCTGGGCCACACTTGAGCTTCTGGCCTTGTATTTAGAACAGTAGTTTTTCAGATCTTGGGCTTGCTCCATTATCAAACGTAATTTGTAGAACCTAATCAGCATTTCATGAGAAGGAAAGAAAAAGAAGTAGGATGGACTGCTGCTTTTCTGTTAGGGGTGATTTTTTCTCCTAGAGGACATTTGCTCTATTGGAGATAATTTTGGTTGTCATATTTGGGACATAGGAGGGAGTGCTACTGGTATCTAATGAGTAAAGAAAGATGGAGATACTGGTAACCATCCACCAATGGACAGGACAGTTCCTCACAACAAAGAATTATTTGGTTCAAAATGTCCGTATTGGCCAGGCGCAGTGTTTCATGCTTGTAATTCCAGAGAGGCAAAATTGGGAGGATCACTTGAGGGCCAGGAGTTTAAGAGCAGCCTGTGCAACATAATGAGACCCTGTCTCAAAAAAAAAGAAATAGCTAGATGTAGTAGCATGTACCTGTAGTCCTCTCTGCATAGGAGGCTGAGGTGAGAGGATAACTTGAGCCCAGGAGTTCATGGTTATAGTGAGCTATGATCATGCCATTGTACCCCAGCCTGAGTGATAGAGTGAGACCCTATCTTTAAAAAAGGAAAAAAAAAAATCAGTGGTGCTGAGGTTGAGAAATGTGGTATAGATCAGAGAGCATTACTCATAATAAGTATTATTTTATTTAACTTTATTTCATTATCTGTATGTTTGTTTTTGTGCTGTAATGTGAAATATATTTCCTTTTTCTTTTTTTAGAGACAGAGTCTCACTTTATCACCCTTGGTAGAGTGCTGTGGCGTCACAGCTCACAGCAACCTTCAGCTCTTGGGGTTAGGTGGTTCTCCTGCCTCAGCCTCCCAAGTAGCTGGGACTACAGGTGTCCACCACAACGCCCGGCTATTTTTTTGTAGTTTGGCTGGGGCTGGGTTTGAACCCACCACTCTTGGTGTATGGGGCCAGCGCCCTACTCACTGAGCCACAGGCGCCCTGAAATATGTCTCTTAGTGTGGGTCACAAACAAAAGCTTGACTATCACTACAAGATATTTGTTCCTGGGGAAGACTATGATGCAGTAGGAGATTCTCTTTAATGTTCTTTGAGCATATTGTCTTGGATGCTTTAGAGCTATCTGACAAGTTGTCTCTGCCAGGAACTCTGTGGAATCTCTCATCCCATGACTCAATCAAGATGGAAATTGTGGACCATGCACTGCATGCCTTGACAGATGAAGTGATCATTCCACATTCTGGTTGGGAGCGGGAGCCTAATGAAGACTGTAAGCCACGTCATATTGAGTGGGAGTCAGTGCTCACCAACACAGCTGGCTGCCTCAGGTACTACTAGGGACTTTGAGAAGACAACAATTTAATTTTTGAGTACTGACTTAAATTTCTTTAAAAATGGTTAAAATTTGTTAGCCTGTTATCCAGCCCCCACTTCTGTCTATATTACACACCATGGCTCCAACCTATCTTCCTGCTTTTGTCACCACTCCCTTGTTGTATGTTCCACATGTACCCATATCAGCTTGCTAGATGTTTCCCACACAGCCTCCTCACTTTTATGCTTCCTTGATGTTGCTCACCTGCTTTGGTAAATACCTACCATTTATAAGGTACTGGTCTAGTCCTGGGCTTGTGTGTGTCTGTGTCCCTGCCCTCAGTTGTCTGGATTTCAAGTCAAACTGTGATAAACACAACAAAAGGAGTACAAAGTACTAGGAAGGTAGGGTGTCAGTGAGGAAGGTCTGATCTTTATATGCTTCCTTGGTCGTGGATCTGCTGGCCTCAGCTGGTTAGCCAGGAGCTTCTTGCAAGCCTTGTTTTCTTTTTTATCTTTTAAAAAAATTATTATTATTTTTGAGACAGTCTCATTTGGTCACCCTTGATAGTGCTGTGACATCATAGCTCACAGCACCCTCAAACTGCTGGGTTTAAGTAATTCTCTTGCCTCAGCCTTCCGAGTAGCTGGGACTACACACACCTGCCACAACTCAGGCTGGTCTCGAACCTGTGAGTTCCAGCAATCCACCTGCCTCGGCTTCCCAAGTGCTTGGATTATAGGTGTGAGCCACTGAGCCCAGTGCTTTTTTATCTTTTTGAAGCTAAACTCAAGTACCTTTATTTCATGAAAGTTATCCTGATTTTTTTTTCCTTCCTATATCCTGTAATTGTTTCAATGTAATCTTTCTCTGTTTGGAATATATCCCTATGTGCTCTGCCCCATTCTATATTTGTATTTCTGGCTTGGCGCCTATAGCACAGTGGTTATAGTGCCAGCCATATACATAGAACATGGTGGGTATGAACCTGGCTCAGAACAGCTAAACAGCAATGACAACTGCAACAAAAAATAGCCAGGCGTTGTGGCGGGCGCCTGTAGTCCAAACTACTCAGGAGGCTAAGGCAAGAGAATCGCTTAAGCTCAAGAGTTTGAGGTTGCTGTGAGCTGTGACATTACGGCATTCTACTGAGGACGACACAGTGAGATTCTGTCTTAAAAAATAAAATAAAAACTATAGGCAGGTGCCTGGGGCTCAAGCTGCTAAGGTGCCAGCCACATATGCCTGAGCTGGTGGGTTCAAATGCAGCCTGGGCCCGCCAAACAGCAATGACCGCTGCAACCAAAAAATAGCTGGGCATTGTGGGGAGTGCCTGTAGTTCCAGCTACTTGGGAGGCGGAGGTAGGAGAATTGCTCGAGCCCTTGAGAATTGCTGTGAGCCATGATGCCACAGTACTCTACCCAGGGCGACAGCTTGAGGCTCTGCCTCAAGAAAAAAAAGAAAAAGAAAACAAAACTATATTTGTATTTCCATACAAGAAATATCTACTCAATCTTAAATTATTGTCATTGGTATGCCTTGTTAATTCCTGCTCCATTAGGTTATGAAAATTCAAAAGTCAGGGACTATTAATTAGCTTTCTCTCAACTGTAGTAGCCTTGTTTATATATAGTAGGTATTCACTATTAGTTATGATGAATAGAAAAGGTACTGAGGAAGCTCATAGATTTTTTTTTTTTAAATTGAGACAGAGTCTTAATTTGTTGTCCGTGGTGGAGTGCCACGGCATCATAACTCACAGCAACCTCTAACTCTTGGTTGAGAATCGCTCAAGCGATTCTCTTGCCTCAGCTTCCCCAGTATCTGGGACTACAGGCTCCTGCCACAATGCCCAGCTATTTTTTTTGTTGTTGTTTAGCAGGTCCTGGCTGGATTCGAACCCACCAGTCCTGGAGCATGTGGCCGGTGCCCTAAACACTGAGGGATATTTTAGGGAGGATTTCTGGATTTGAATCATCTTTAAGCTTCTTATTTCCCTTCAGGAATGTAAGCTCAGAGAGGAGTGAAGCGCGCCGGAAACTTCGGGAATGTGATGGTTTAGTTGATGCCCTCATTTTCATTGTTCAGGCTGAGATTGGGCAGAAGGATTCAGACAGCAAGGTAAGTTAATGGCTCAGTAAATTCCATTTACTGTAACTATGTGGTATCTATAATGCCGATGTATCATCTCATGCTTTCAAATAATATTAAATACGTATACTAGTCCCTCCTTACTCTTCTAAAGTAGGAATTCAACTTAAAATATTTTCTTGTTACTATCCTTCACCTGTATTATTTTAAAGCTGCTTAGCTGTCTCCTAAGATAATACACTTTCTAATTAATAAAAATAGTGACCCAAATTTTAGGTCACACACCAAATAGTGGCAGAAGACAGGAAGTCCAGAGTTGGACTTTGCATTAGCCTGGGGCTACAAGGATTTTGAGAAGGTTAGAGTGCTTTAGCAGCACCCTAGAGATTCTGAATTGGACTGTGCATGTGAGGATCAACATTTATAAACCATGAATCATGGAAACACATACTTACTGGGAAATCACAATAAAACATTCTTTTCTGTCATTGGGCCTTTTGTCCCTAAGCTTGTGGAGAACTGTGTTTGCCTCCTTCGGAACCTATCATATCAAGTTCACCGAGAGATCCCACAGGCAGAGCGTTACCAAGAGGCACCTCCCAATGTTGCCAACAATACTGGGCCACATGCTGCCAGTTGCTTTGGGGCCAAGAAGGGCAAAGGTAAGTAATTTTTTTCTTTCTTTCTTTTTTTTTTTTTTGAGGCAGTATTGCTCTGTTGCCCAGGCTAGTGTGCAGTGGCACAATCATATCTCATATAACCTTGAACTCTTGGGTTTAAGCAACCTTCTTGCCTCACCTTCCTGAGTAGCAAGGACTATAGACATACCACCATGCAAGCTAAGGTTATTAGTTTTTATAGGATCTCGCTATGTTTCCCAGACTGATTTTTTGTTTTGTTTTGTTTTGTTTGAGACAAGAGTCTCACTATGTCAACCCTCAGTAGAGTGCCATGGCATCATGTCACAGCAACCTCAAGGTCTTGGGCTTAAGCCATTCTCTTGCCTCAGCCTCCTGAGCAGCTGGGACTACAGGCATCCACCACAACACCTGGCTATTTTTTGTTGTTGTTTAGGTGGCCCAGGCCAGACTCGAACCCACCAGCCTAGGTGTATGTGGCCAGTGCTGTAACCACTGAGCTACGGTGCTGCCTGTTTTGCTTTAACTAATTTATTTTTAATTTATTTTTGTTTTTTTTTTTTTTATTTGAGATAGAGACATAGCTCACAGTAACCTCAGCCTTAGTCTCCAGGGCTTAAGTGTTCCTCCTGCCTCAACCTCATAGTAACTGGAACTACAGGTGCCTGCTGCAACGCCCAGCTATTTTTAGAGATGAGATCTTCCTCTTGCTCAGGCTGGTCTCAAACTCCTGAGCTCAGGCAATCCACCTGCCTCAGCCTCCCAGAATGCTAGTATTACAGGTGTGAGCCACCATGCCTGGCTCCCAGGCTGGTTTTGAATTCCTAGTCTCAAGTGATCCTCCTGCCTTGGCCTCCCAAAGTGCTGGGATTATAGACATGAGCCAACATGCGTGGCAGGAAGGAAACAATATTAAAAACAATATTAGCTTTAGGTACAAAAAACTTGTCAAGTAGTATAGTAGTAGTAGTCTGCCTGGTCAAAAATACCTTTTTGCTCTGCTGCTGGTTCTCCTGTGTTGTGTGCTTCATTCAAGGTGGTGGTGGTTTCAGTATCAGTGACTGGGGCAGTGAAGGACAAGAACCCGACTAATCTAGGGCCTTCTCCCCATACGTCTTTTGTGTTTCCTGTTTTTCTTTTTCTCTCTGTGCCTTTCTTCTTATTTGCCCATAATCCTGTTGACATCTTTCTCCTGCGTTTTTCTTTCTTTGTTTCTCTCCTCTGCTTTCCACCTTGGGTGATGCACTGGAAGATGAGTGGTTCTCCAGAGGTGAGTGGAGTCTTTTAAGGTGCTTATCTACTTCTAATTTGCATGTTTTGGTTTTAGCTTCCCTAGTATTTTCTTGTCTAACTTTTCCCTGTGAATGCATATAGGAAAATGTAATTGAGGAAGACATTGAAATAAGTTTACCTATTTTGAGCTAATGGCTCATGGCATGCTATTTCTGGGGAGAAGTCCCTGTTATCAGAACTCAGGACAGTAGCAACAACTGTGGTTATCTCTGTCTCACCTATCTGCTGCCTGTTTTCTGTCCTTGTTTCTGGATAGCCCTTGCTGGGACAAATTCCCTCTTCCCTCCCCTTGCATCTCTGATCAAAAGATTCTGACTGAAGAATGAAAGATGTGCCAAGTAGAATCTTTGCCTTCTTAAAATTTTTACTGTTTTCCCTCACTTTTGTTCATTTCTATAGGGAAAAAACCCTTAGAGGATCCAGCAAATGATACAGTGGATTTCCCTAAAAGAACTAGTCCTGCTCGAGGTAAGTTTAGAAAATGTTTACTGTACTCTCTTCTCCAACTTACGTACGAGTTTGAAGTAATAGTGAAAGTATTAGAAAAACTCCATTGTATTATAGCAGTAACTTGGAAAGGACTGCTTGTTAAAGCAATTATTCAGGTTACTTGAGGATAGAATAAAGTCATCGAGATTGTTCAGAGCAGAAACTTAGGAATCTTCGGTGGACACTACAGTTCTTGAGACTTAAACCTCACTATCATGAGAATCCTCTTTATCACAGTTTGGATCTTTATAATCATCAATCTAGTAAAGTCTAAAGTTCACAGCTCTCCATAGATATGAATAGTTTAAATATTGTTAAATCTACAGTGGGTCCTTCTACTTTGTCATTAGGAAGTGGGAAGAATGACTGAGTTAAATCAGAAATTGATTTGAGATGAGGAATCTTTAACCCTGAGAGCTGTCAAGGAGCCAAATGAATCTCCTTAGTGCTTTTGGTAGAACCAAAGCCGAAGTAAGCTGTGGGAGAGAAAAGTCAAGGAGGAAGGAAAGAGAGGAGTTGAATATGATGATGATGATCTGTTCTGCTCTTACTGTGGATAAATTTTTCTCATGGTGTGGAATCAGGTCTCTGGATTTGCTGTTGAGTGGGATGGGAGAGTTTAGGGAGCCTAATGGTGTAGGTGCATAAATCCATCAATGCAGAGTGCGAAGGCTGGATTCCAACAAGCCAGAGTCTGTTTGGTGGGTATTGATTAGCATTCCTTACCTTCTTTTCCCTTTTTGTGCAGGCTATGAGCTTTTATTTCAGCCAGAGGTGATTCGGATATACATCTCTCTCCTTAAGGAGAGCAAGACTCCTGCCATCCTAGAAGCCTCAGCTGGAGCAATTCAGAACTTGTGTGCTGGGCGCTGGACGGTAAGTACCTTTTAGAAAATGGAGATGGGAAACTAAGATGACTAGTTTGTTGCCATTCTTAATCTGTTCTACCTTTTACATGTGCTATTTCTAGTATGGTCGATACATTCGCTCTGCTCTGCGTCAAGAGAAGGCTCTTTCTGCCATAGCTGACCTCCTAACCAGTGAACATGAGCGTGTAGTCAAAGCTGCATCTGGAGCACTAAGAAATCTGGCTGTGGATGCTCGCAACAAAGAATTAATTGGTAAGGAGTTGAATACTGTTGCCTCAGCATCTAGTACAGTGCCTTTAATCTAGCTGGTACTTAATCATTTAGTGCATATATTGAAGTGACTTGAGGGAAGGACCCTACCCCTCCATAGTTTATGAATCCAAGGGTTGGTGAGGGTTCTAATTTAATTCTGTGGTCCCCAACCTTTTTGGTACCAAGGACTGGTTTTATGGAAGGTAGTTTTCCATGGATGGTTGTGGGGATGGATTCAGGATGATTCAATTGCATTATATCTCTACTTCACATCATCAGGCATTAGATTCTCATAAGGAGCCTGCAATCTTGGTCCCTTGCATGTGCAGTTTACTGTAGGGTTCACACACCTGTAAGAATCTAATGTGACAGCTGATCTGACAAGAGGCAGAGTTCAGGCGGTGATATTCCTGATGGGGAGCAAATGAAGCTTCTTCTCACTGCTCACTTCCTGCTGTGTGGCCTAGTTCCTGGGGCTTGGGAACTGTGGGTTTAATAGTTTCTGGTTTAATCATCAGGAAGAAGTGATGACTCTTCAAAAGTAGAGTAATTATAGTTACTATTTATTTAATGAGCACTTGGCCAGCCTAAGCAAGAGCAAGACTCCATCTCTAAAAAAATAGCTGGGCTCTGTGGTGGGTGCCTCTAGTCCCAGCAACTTGGGAGGCTAAGGGAAGAGAATTGCTTGAACCCAAGAATTTGAAGTTGATGTGAGCTATGATGTCATGGCATTCTACCAAGGGTGACAAAGTGAGACTGTCTGAAAAAAAAAAAAAGGGTGGCACCTGTGGTTCAGTGGGTAGGGCGCCGACCCCACATACCGAGGGTGGCACATACCAAGGGTGGTGGGTTAGAACCCGGCCCCAGCCAAACTGCAACAAAAAAATAGCTGGGCGTTGTGGTGGGTGCCTATAGTTCCAATTACTTGGGAGGCTGAGGCAAGAGCATCGTTTAAGCCCAAGAGTTTGAGGTAGCTGTGAGCTGTGACTCCATGCACTCTACCAAGAGTGGCATAGTGAGACTCTGTCTCAAAAAAATAAATAAGTAAATGAGCACTTGGTTAGTAGGCAGTGCTAAGTACTTCTCTTTTCATTTAATTCCCACATTTCACAGAGGTCCTTTTTTTTTTTTTTTTTTTTTATAGGACAGGTAAACTAAGGTTCATAGATGGTAATTAGTTTGGCACTAGTTAATACAGCTAGCTAGTGGCAGAGCCCAGATTACTTTTTAAATTCAAAAATGACTATTCTGTTAAATTATTATAACATGCAATATATTGTTTTCATTAGAGTATCTGAAGGGATTATATAGTATGCATGTTAGGCAGTATTCACCTTGTTTCAATGTGATTAAAGGAGAGATGAGGTAAAGGAATAGGAAGGATCATAAATCCAGGTCTTTTCTCTTTTGTTATGATAATCCCATAGGAAAATGAAGTTGACTCAAGGCTCCTCATGACCTGACTCCATTCTCCCTGAATATGTTCCTTCTGTCTACTTCTATAGGTAAACATGCTATTCCTAACTTGGTAAAGAATCTGCCAGGAGGGCAGCAGAACTCCTCCTGGAATTTCTCTGAGGACACCGTGGTCTCTATTTTGAATACCATCAATGAGGTTATTGCTGAGAACCTGGAGGCTGCCAAAAAGCTTCGAGAGACACAGGGTATTGAGAAGCTGGTGTTAATCAACAAATCAGGGTGAGCTTATCACTTAAAATTACAGCTGGAAGAATTTGAGTATGAGGGGGGAGTTGCCAGCAAGGAACTTTCCTTTTCTGCTTTCTAAGGTTTTTTCCCCTTACTTATGTGTAAAGTGTGAATCATACTGCTCTATTTTATGTCTTAATGTTGATCTAAAATTTGATAATAGACTCTTAAACATTAATTTTTTATGTCACTGTTTGGGATAGAATACAGGATTTAATGAAAACTTGATTTCACCCATTTTGGTATTTATATTATTCTGTTATTTTGGGGGGGGGCATAGATTCTAAGCTTCTTTCCTGGTGTTAACCTCTGAATTCCATACGGTGTTACTTTCTTCAAAAGGAACCGCTCAGAAAAAGAAGTTCGAGCAGCAGCACTTGTATTACAGACCATCTGGGGATATAAAGAACTGCGGAAGCCACTGGAAAAAGAAGGGTGGAAGAAATCAGACTTTCAGGTATAATAACTCTTGAGGCCAAGAATTTTACTGTTTTTTTTTTTTTTTTTGGTTCTAGGGTGTAATGCTTCTGTCTCCTTGGTTTTTTTTCTTTTTCATCATCACACTAAATCTGTTTTTGACTATCTCTTAATTGGTAGAAATTATTTGGTTTATTCCTCGTCAGAAGAATGAGATGGCATATAGTACATTTGCTATAAAAAAAGAGCTCTAGTCTTCCTCTATGTCATAACATACTGTTTAAGTGTTGGTGGTGATGAAAGATGAAGATGTTGGCCTTTTTGTTTTTTTCCTAAATCCCTGTACCTCTTTGAAGTAGTTTACTGTTCTGAGACAGTGTTTCCTTCTGATAGTATCAGTGTTTGGAAACTTTCTATAGAAGCTGATTTAAAGAGAGGAAAATTAAAAAAAAAAAACCAACTCTGGCACAGTGCCTGTAGCACAGTGGTTATGGCACCAGCTGCATGGGTTGGCAGGTTCAAACCCAGCCTGGGCCAGCTAAACAACAATGAGAGCTGCAACCAAAAAATAGCCGGGCGTTGCGGCGGGCGCCTGTAGTCCCAGCTACTTGGGAGGCTGAGGCAAGAGAATCACTTAAGCCCAAGAGTTTGAGGTTGCTGTGAACTGTGATGTCACAGCACTCTACCGAGGGTGACATAGTGAGACTCTGTCTCCCAAAAAAAAAAAAAAAAAAAAATCCAACTCTGTAGATAGCATCAGATTTTAGTTTTATAATAAAAACCATTTGAATAATTAGAAAACAAAATAAGTCATATATCCTAGCTTGTTTCCCTGTATAGGGTATTTAGTTTTTGTAAAGTGTTGATTATTCTTTGAAATAGTAGATTAGAGGTTTATGCCCATTAAAGAGTAAGATATGGGTGAATTTAGTATTCTATGACATTATTGCATTTTGTATTTGCCTCCAGGTGAATCTAAACAATACTTCTCGAAGCCAGAGTAGTCATTCATATGATGATAGCACTCTCCCTCTCATTGACCGGAACCAAAAATCAGGTACACTATCTAGAGGGTACACCTTTCTCCTTTTAGCCACTCTTGCTATTCTTTAGTAGGCTTACTAACTAATAAATAGGACATACTTGTTTCTGAATGAGTGAATGAGCTCTTCTTTTAGGGGAAGGAATAACATTCTGCTCCAGGATTGTAATGCAGCAGTGCTTAGGTATAAACATTAGAAATCAAAACAAAGCTGGGGCTCAGTGGCTCATGCCTGTAATCCTAGCACTCTGGGGAGGCTGAGGCAGGTGGATTGCCTTAGCTCTCACAGGTTGGAGACCAGCCTGAGCAAGAGCAAGACATCGTCTCTAAAAATAGCCTGGCATTGTGGTGGGCACCTATAGTCCCAGCTACTTGGGAGGCTGAGGCAAGAGAATCATTTGAACCCAAGAATTTGATGTTGCTGTGAGCTGTGATGCCATAGCACTCTACCAAGAGCAACAAAGTGAGACTCTGTCT